TGTGTAATTATAAGTCAACTGAAAACAAAATTAAATGAAAGTAATCTAAAACTGAACTAAAGAACCCATGGCCTGGTGGGGATTGAATCAGGATTTTTAGAAAGGGACAAACATAAAGGAAAAGTGCTGACAGGCAAAGTGAGAAAATGCATGTAAAATAGCACATAACAGCAGCATGTTCTCTATGACCACAGTCATAGAGCACAAACGGCACCCCTTTATAACCTCTGATCATTATCATTATACTGGTGCTTTCTTTACATGAAACATGCTTACAATGTATGGTCCTAATTGCATGAGCTCTTAAAAATGAGAAGATTATCTAAGATACTTGACTTGACCCACTCAAGTCAGCATAAGAGAAAGCAATCTGCAAGACACAAGTGTTCATCAATTTATTCGTTACGAGTAGTGGAGGCTGACAAGCCGATGGTTTATCAATTCCAGTAGAGTGGGCTGATCAATAGACACCAGACATGAGGACTGAAACTGGAACGTTATGTTTCAGCCTGATCAGTTGAGGCACCAGATGAACCAAATGTGTTGTTCAAAAGCTTGCCAAGCATCAGAGGTTAAGATCAAATTAACCTGCCTGCCACGTAGCAGTGCAGCTTCTGGGAATACATTAAGAGAGTTCTGGCTCCTTAATCATATGTGCAGACATTATTAAGACAAACCAAACCCACTGTAAGCCAGTGAGCCAGATTTGACTTTTTAAAACCACTGATGTATGATTCTTGTGTGAAAAAAAAGTGTTTACAGGGGAGGTGACTGTATTCTGAAAGTGATGTTTTAATAAACAAACTTACTTTGACTTCTTCTTGTAGTTTTCCAAATCGAACTGTGCCACTGAGAATCCTGCTGATGAATCTCTGCTTTTCCTGCTGAAGAGATGATGCCTAGGGAGGCAGACAGGGAAGATGGCGGGTTACTGAGCTAAAAAAGGAACACAGAGGGAGGGTTAAACACACAATTGGATAAAGGAAGTGGGGGATTATGGAAGAATTGGACAAAGGAAATGAATGAAAGACGTCAAACTGTTGCCAATTTACAGAAATCCTGTGCAGCCAAATGGGTGAGGCACAAAAGCTGTCTAACTTCAGGACAGTATAACCAATCTGCAGACTTGTACTAGGTTGGATAAGGATGGATAAAAAAATACTCACTCGCTACCTACTAAGTAACTGTGTGAATCAAGATTTCATAAAAGTCAGCTAAGGCTCCCCCATGCCAGTCATTCTCAGATTATTGGTCATGACTCTTTAGAACTCCAAAAACACAAAAAGTAACCATGAGTCTTCTTTAACTCTGCAATAATCATAGTGCTTTATAGGTAACTATGTATAAATTAAAAAAAAAAAAACATGTTTTCAGCATTTAAAAACATTTCCACTGCTTACATAACATACATAATCACAATGCTTAACCCCCCCCCCAGATAATATATACCCAGTTATATAATGCCAGAGGTGGAAAATCAGGCAGTTCGGTTCCTGTACGCCTTACACACTTTTTGGTCTGATTTATACAATTGCTTTGACTGAAAAAACCTTTACGTTATCTTCTCTGTGCTTGTACCTTGTCTGAATAATGAAAGTATACAACAGAGATATACACAGAGATATGCATACATGTGAGGATCATTTTAACAATAGAAGACTGGAAAACTGCTGCCTGTCTGTGGGGTCACAATTTTGGGTAAAAAATATGGAAACATGGATCCATCCTGTCTTGTATCAAAAACAAGGTGCCAGTGGTGGAGGTGCTATAATGGTATGGGGGATATTTTCTTGACACACTTTGGGTTCCTCAGTACATCACTGGGCATAATTTAAATTCCGCACCCTGCACAAGTATTGTCACTGACCATGTTCATCATCTCTCATCACCACACTGTACCCAGCTTCTCATGGCTGCTTCTAGCAAAATAATGCATCATGTCACAAAGTTCCAATAATCTCAAACTGTTTTTTTAACATGACACTGAATCGAATGCACACTTTTGTCACCTATCGTCAGGTGCACCTCCTCCAAAAAAATTTCTTAGGGGTGGCTATATGGGAGCCACTAAAAATACTGGGCTGGCACTCCAAAAACAGAATTTCCAGTTTTATTACACTGTTATCAAATACTACTTGAAAAATATGGCAAAAAAGAGAGAAAGAATAGTACTATATGGCTAGTTAATTTTCTGCTATTAAATTATTAAATTTGCTATCTCTGAAAACAGGTGCATATGAAAACCAAATAAGGTTTTGGAATCATTAATAATTCAGTTTTAATTGATCAGTTGACTGATTATCTGGAAGTCCTAACCATCAATTTAATGATTCTCAGCAGAGCTGAGGAGAAGGAGCTTAAGATTCTTTCTCCTAGAATGGAGTTAATTTTAAGAGCAAACTTGTTCAGGAAATACAAATAAGCATTGGATAATGTCAGTGAATGTGAGTGTGAGTGGTTGCCTGTCTATGTTGGCCCTGAGATGTACCAGTAATCTATCCAGGGACTGGTCCCAGGTTTTCTGCAACCTTATGACATTATTACCAACAAATTTTGAGGGGTAGCCAGTCTGATTTGCATCTGCCAGCAGTTTTTGGGTGCCTATTAGTTTTTCTGTGACTATTTTTAAAATCCAAAATCCTACCTGCCTCCAGACCTGTTGCAACCCTTATGAAATACCTTTACACCTTAACTACTGAATTTTGTTGTCATTTCGGATCAATTGTCTGTAAACAGCAACCAAAGCTGGCATTACTACAAACAGCTTAATTAGTAAGTGAATGAATTGATACTTAATATTCAGTATATTTAGACCTTTTTTTTTTTTATCAAAGGAAAGTTTCAAGACCCTCATGTTTGTGCATCTATTCAGTGTCACATGTGGTACAAAATCTTTTTACAGTAGCATCAGTAGTACCATGTGTAATAGTTGGTCTCTCTCCTGGGAAATGTGTTCTGCCACAGAAATGACAGCTCCCAGGTAGTGCCGTGTCTTTTCCTCCTTCAACACACACTCTTCCTTTTGTTGCTTCAACATACTCATTCTTCTTTCAGCCTTCCTAATTGATGGAAAGATAGGCGAGTGAGGAAGGGAATTGATTAAAGAGTATTAAAAGAGGACCAAAAACACAGAAAAGAGAGAAAGAGAAAGTATGGGGGCACGAGAATGGAGTGCGAAAGGGAGGTTTGGTGAAAACATGGTAAACAAAAATAAGCAGGGGTTAAGAAAAGGGAAAGCAGCAGATAGAAGGGTTGAATAAGAAGAAGGACAATAGGTTAGCTGGATGATACTTGAGATCATGCCATCTGCACAAGGTGGGGGGAAATGTTGGTTATTAAACACCTTTTGACAGACTTCACACTTCATATTGAAAGAGTTCACATTAATCTCAGCACAAATCTACTGGGAAACGAAGGCTCCAGACCAGAACATATTTAAGTCCAGCTGCAATCCCTTGCAATCCCTACAGTTAATTAATTATAATTATACTAGGTGTCAAAACATTAGACAAACAGGACAAAAGAATGAATCACCAGCTACAATGTTGGACAGAAATCTAGAAAAGAAAAAAATAAATTAATAATAATTAAATTAATAAAGTAATTATATGAAAATAGAAAGTTCTCCTGTCTCCCATCAGACGAGCTTGTTGGCACTGATCCTCACATAGGATATGAACCACATTTTCCCACATGAAAGTCATGTGCATAACACTTACTAAGTGGACTTCTTCCATATTACTTTATATAGGTTGGATTTTTTTATTTAAAAAAAACCTTAACACAGAGCTCAGTGGATGTGCAGGAGTCTAGCACATTATCAGACTGCTTCAATTTCAAGTTATCATGAGTGTTTGTTTTTTTTAAAGCAAGCTGTCCCAATTATAAACAATAAATAGTTTACACTGATTTTACTCTTGTTAAACATCCATGTACCAGTTTTTATGGCAGTTTGTTTCTCAACATATCCAGATGCTGCATATTCTTTGCACAAAAGTATTTTAATATATTGAAAATGGAATTGGTTCCACATGCTGTTATAGTAATCATAACATTCTTTTGTTTTAATGGCTCAAGCAATGCTGAAAACCTTCCAAGAACTGTGTCTCACTGCTGTATACCAGGTTTCATGTATGTGATAACAGCAAACAAAGAACACTAAATATTTACTACCTGTTGGATTGCCTGGAGAGCTCCAGCTCAGCCTCCATTGCCCTTGTTTTTGCAGTTAGCTGGGCTTTGTCCAGAGCTAGAATCCTGTTCTCCTCCTGGAGGTTAGATACTCTCAGAAGCAGTTTGTCAATTTCACCCTTACTTCTGCTCTCATGCTGCTCCAGTTGTCTGAGAGTGAAGAGAAGAGTTCATAGAATTATGTCACAGCACGTGTCACAATCTGCAATTAAAACTCCAAAATATAGCCTACTGATATTTGTTTTAAATGTAATAGTCCTGTTATTTCATGCTTATGCAATTTATTTTTGATTCATTTGTGTAAACATGAGTTGTATTTTAAATCCCAGGGGCTATGACAATACCTGACCACGTACATTTATTCATTAAATCCCATTTGACTTTTCTATTGCACTTAAAACTGCAGTGCTTCAGGTGCTACTTTTGTTGTAGTTCTTGTTTTGTCTACTTATCTGTGCTACAAATCAACTGAAATAATAATAAACAAAGCTTTCCCAACACCCTTACCCAACATAGAGCAAGAATGGTCAATGCTTGTGAATATAAATTGTTCAGTCTACAGTTTCTTGTTTTCTCTTTGAAATAACAGAGCAGCTTTAATACTTAAGTATTCAGTTTTGTTTAATAACGTGAGATTAGAAGGGTACCTTCTCAGTTTTCCAGCAATGCTGCAGTGTTCGTCCCAGGTGACTGCATCCTTTAGGCGGGCCTGCAGAACTTGAAGCTCCTTCTTATTTTTCTGCACCTCCCTCCTGCATTCTTCCAGGTCCCCTTCCAAACGCTGGTTTTCCACTTCTAATAACATCAGTTTCTTAGACACTTTTGCCACTAAAGAAACAAGAAAGAGATAAGAAAAAAAGAGAGTATTAAACAGAAGAAAATGAATAAAAAGGAAAATAAAAAAACGAAATAGGGAAGCGAGCCCAGTAAATGTACATTAGGCTAAATGCCTTTAGTGCTCAAAATGTATTTTCATGTTTTCTCCTTGTATGTCACTTGAGTCTTTTTGAGTAATCTTTTCTGAATTTAACATGTTTACAAAAAAGGCCGTGAAATTGCGAGTGTGTACGTTTTTAAGTTGCATATTCTTGAGGTGGGGCTCACCCGAAATGGAAAATGAAGATCTGTTAACGTTGTGAAAGACTTTTAAAAAGTGATCTTTACCTATGTTTAACAATGGGTCTTTGTGTTTCTTTGTTGGCTAGATCACGGGGCCAACAGAAAGGAAAGTATGTATTATGAAACCAAAAATAATATGGAAAAAACCTTAGGTATCACCCAGTAGGTGAAAACAACTCAGAATGAAGTTTAATGGTATCCTATTTATACAAATGCGTTGAGCATCAACACGTATGACTACTACTCAATAAATCACATCCATATTAGTCTGAGACACACGACGAGATGTATATTCTTAGGGCGGGGCTCATTCTGGCAATGATTTGTTACATTGTTAATGTTGTGAAAGGCTCTTTTAAACAAGCTGTTGCTTTTTTTTAAGCTTTTCCTATGTCTAACAATGCATCTTTGTGTTAGCTAGGTCAAAGAGCCAACAAAAATGAAAGTTTGCATTATATACCTGAATCCAAAAAGAAACATCTACTGCGTTAACGTTCGAATCTACGACCTTCAAAGGGACACGGCCAACACCAAAAGTAGACATTTAGACTTTTTCTGCGTATTCTGTGTTATATTCTGTATTTCCTCATTTATCCCTATCAAAAAAGACCTAAAAACATTTTTTTAAACAAAAAAAACAGACGTAATTCTGAAATGCATGCATCATTTTAAAGATTTTAGTGTAAATGCTTGTGGAAGAATTTATTTCATCTTTTTCATTTTTTTTAGGTATTTCAGTGTTCCAGAAAATACCTTCAGTGTTATGTCTGCTGTGAGTGGCCTTGGCCTCAGCATGCTGCTCCTCGAGTTGATTGATGAGATCCTGGTTCTCCTGCAAAACCAGAACGGCCTGTTGTTGAATTTGATAACTGCAGAAAGAAAGAAAGCAGGAGAGTGAGAGATTATCAATGCTAAATCAGCACATCACAAAACTTGCTAATTTAACAAACAGTAATTATCAGACACAAAAATACTATAAATAGCTTTGCTACATGCTACATTAGCCTTTACAGAGATTAAGCTATCTTTCCAAGAAACAAATCTTACATAAATTCTGTAATCCTTGTAAGATAACATATACTTTTCTACTCCTGCAAGTTAGTCTTTCTAAGAAGAAACATATTAACAACTTGATGAGTCTACTGAATACAAATAAAAGAGTTAATATGATTGCCTACAAGTGTTGGCCTTTGAATGAATTGGACATCTAGTATCATGAAGTATTTATACTTTTCACAAGAGCACTTGAAATAAAGACTAAGTCTATACGTATACAAATGTACTGAGCATCAACATGTATTCCTAGTACTTAAGTAATCCCTTATATATTAGATTGACATACATGAAGAGGTTAACAACTCTAAAATCCCTGATAGTTTACATAAAGGCAGTGCAATTATCTAACTTCTCAGAGTTAGTTTCAGTCAGTGTCAGCAGCATTCTATGCTAGAATGATTATGAAAGACAGAATACCAGCAGCAGGGGTGTACCAAAGGAAACAAAGGTTTAGCTTCTTTCATTTTCTTAATTGCATCTATCATCTAGCAATGGATAAAGAAAAAAGACATTTAATTTTCATTACAAGATCAGATGAATGAATGATGACGGCAAATCAAGTTCATACAGTGTTGAAATAACCCACATACACAAAGCCGTGCATTTTTTCTTACCAGTCTTTCTGATTGACCGCTCCGGTCGTGGTAATTTCATCATGGAGTTTCTCATTTTCTTTAATGACTTCCTCTAATTGAAAATGCAACTTTTTCATGTTTTCCTGTAGCAGACAAATACACAAAAAACAATGATTTCAAGGCCATAAAGAAAAACACAAAATAAATGCATCTTCTGCTCTACTACCACCTCTAAGCCAAGGCTTAAAGGTCCCCCTGGGGAGATACCATCCTTCACTGAGACTGCCTGAGCACACCAGCTGTCCTGTTAGTGTTATACCCACTAAGTCTGGTCTCACCTCCCCCTGTGAAACTGTTCCAAGTCCTTTTATGCTGGAACTGGATCGCCTCAGGACACAGAAACCTGCTCAATCGCAACCTTTTGCAGCATATTAAACAGAATGTTTTTACTTTTTACTTGTTTATTAATTCCAAAGGAAGGATGTATTATATAGCTACCTTTAACTCATTCACTGCCAGCCATTGGCAGTGAATGAGTTAAACCCATTGACTCATTCACTGCAATTGACGGCTATAGACGTCAATGGCAGTGAATGAGTTAAAAGACCCAAATATTTATTAAAAAGACAATAATTACCGCTAGAACAAAATATGATTTTATTTTGACTTCTGTTGTTTGCATGACTAAATGTTTACCTCATCTAATAAGATCCTGGGAGCACCTTGACTAATGCATTCTATCTACTGAGTGTACTGCAGGTTTTCAACCCATGAACCACATAAATACAAGTTGGCACATCAAATAGTACTTAACAACCCCCACCTCTGAAATAACCTCACCAATTCTCCAAAAAGAAAATATGAAAGATGATTCATTAAAACTCACACAAATTTCACTTTACCTCAGTGGTTTGCAGAATGGCATCTTTCTCATTCATTCTGTCTTCATAAGCCAGCAGTAGAGGAGATAAATACTTCATGTCGACCTACATAAGACGGACAAAGAGAAATAGTTTAAACTAGACATAACATGAGTGCCATGAATCTTTTGCCTTGCTAGAGATTACGCCACACAGGAAAAGTTTGTTTTCAATCAGACAGTGACAGTAATAATACCTGGTGCAAATGGGCTTTATGATCTTGTTAGGGTGGACAGATACTGGACAGTGTGGCATTCAGATATACTCATTTAAGAGTCTCTCTTACCTGTGCAAATTTTAGTGAGCTTTGGTTGTGATTAACCGTGCTACCAGACCAGCTGTCAGCAGACTGAAAATCTGCAATTTCACATTTTTCTTCAATTTTATGGGGTACTGAAAAAATCAACCATAGTAATCGATTGACCAGTCAATTTATTTTACGAAATGACTTGCCTATTAGATTAGCCAGTGTTACGGATTCAAATATTGGGGATAGATACAAGAGGAAAAACCACAATAACAACACTGGTCCGGCCGGGTTGAGTCAAACGATGATTTTAATGATCACACATGTGGGAGATGGACACCGTACGCAGACAGCATCAGATCTCAAAATGGTGGAGCATTGATCAAACTCTTATAGCCTCTAGTGGCCCCCACCTTATCATAAAAGCCTAAACATTCACATGCTTTTTCTCACACAGTGCCTAAGCTACGACCTTGGCTCCCTGTTTATCTGCTCCTGCTGAGATGGGGCAGAAAACTCCAGTATATTCTGTTCTCTTCTAATCAGACAAATAAGGCGATGACTTTCTGCGAACAGTATTTCTTATAACTCAGCAGTATAATGCATCATAAAACAATATCATTCATTCACAATAAATCAGCAGTCTAATGTAATGCAAATCAGTTTAACAAATGCAATAGTTACCACCTTCTTCTAATTCAGGAGAATAATGCAAACTAAAACTACATAATAATTCACAATCTTTAATTAGGGGTATAACATGGCATAAAATAATATTATAATCTCACACCAGCGACACTATATGTATTGATTAGTGACATCAGATTATTAACTTGCTAAAAGGTCAGCCTACAGTCAAGCCAGAAATGTACTGTAGTGTTATATATTTATACTTACCAGCCATGGAGGAGGAGACCCCGTGTTTGGTAAGCCACTGACTTTGGAGTGCTAGATGAGTAAGGAGTGACATAGAAAGAAAGAAAATGAAGTTGGGCTTTTATCCCATCACTACAGTTTAGTCCTTTACATGGATAAGTTTAATATATCAGAATGGGCCAATAGAGTGTTGGAATCTAGTGTAGCATCAATAACTGCACAAGAGTAGTTACTCTGACTAAGAGCTAAGCTGCTCCAATAGAGGGATGGAACACCATTCTTCCAAAGATATCCCTTTATTTGGTGTTTTAAAGATGGACCTGTTTCCATGACACTCTAAAATTTAATTTAGGTGTTCATTTGGCTCATACACATCAAATCATTGAGTGTTACCTCATGCCCTTTGAATGGTGGCAATGTCTTGCTGGAAGAACACTCATCAGTTAGGACATGTTATAGGATAAAGATAATCAATCAGAGCAACTTTGTATTGATCTGTACTGATCCTATGAACTTCTAACTTACCAGCAAAATGCCTCCTACAGCAAAAACGAGGAGACCCACTCAAGGTTTGCTATAGATAATTTAATATGGAAGCAGATCCTTTTAACTGAACCAATTAAACTGATTATGACTCATCCAATCTCTTATAACTGTGTTACTTCACTGTAAAATGCATTTTCCTTTATCTCTTTCTTTCCAGCCACACTTCACTTGTTAGTAATGAGCCTTTGCAGAGACATGCAGCCACAGAGGCAGTGATGAGAGCAGGAGATCCCCTGGTGTGAAAACACAGCATGAGGTAGTCATGATTAAAACCAAAGGCTGGCTTTCTCCTGCAGCGCTAAACCTACAATAATCTGGACAGACTGTACCAGAGAGACCGCCACAGACAGTAACAAAAAACTCTTTTGGTTCAACAAATCAGAGGGAAGGACTGACAAAAATAAAACCTTACTTCACTCAGCAGGGTTTTGGATCAAAGGTGGATGTGTATCTTAAAAGCTCAGTTATGAAGCTTTGAAAATAAGGAGATGTACTGCCATTAGATTTTCTACAGAATCTAAGAAAATAAGTCTAAGAGTAAATGAAGATAATACAGGAGAACACTGTTAGAGTGAATTGTTAAATGTTGTCATTTTTATGCTTACCATCTCTACATTGTTTTAACTCTGTTAAGAAAGGAATTCTTTTATCCCCCTCCCCAACCTCTCGAGGTTCTGGGGGGGATGTAGTGTTTTTTTGCAGATACATCCTATCTGGAAGATCTGTTTCTTGTGATGTTGCTTCCTGCTTTTATGACCCTTTTGGTCAGCAGGAGGCCACACACACACACATTCTCACATGCATACAGATGTTTACACATACACACGCATAGTGCCTTGTCGTTGTAACCATTTGGGGGTTTTACGTGGGTGGTGCTTTTGCTGTGATGTGTATTATGTGAACTGTTTTCCCAATAAAAGGGGTCATTTTGTGGCAGATAACAATGAGGCCTGTCTTGAAAGTAAATCGATCGATTGCTGACTGTCTTGTTTTCTTCATGATGAATAAGTCTCTAAACCAGCGGGGCTTGTGGAAACACAGACCCAACAAACACATATACCTGATTTAAGTTAAATTTGGTAAGGTAGGAGTGAGACAGACTGACTTTTTTTCTCTGTACAACTCCCTAATAGGAACAGCTGTTCGTAACTGAGCTGATTGGTAATATTCACAATACAATTTCTCAAATTTCTTTCAAGCAAACCCTGAGGTTGCATTGCATCTTATTCATGAAAAGTTTAAACTGACCCATATATATATATTTTTTTAGAAATACCTATAGTTCATTAATTCTCAATTAGCCCCTTATCCTTCACTGAAGTAGTCTCTTGTCATATTCATGTCTTGAGCTTGTTATACCTCTTCTTTGGACAGTGGTCTGAACCGCGCCTGGTAGTGGCTCAGCTCCACATTCAGACGGTGAACTGTCAGTTTGAGGGCATCGTTTTCATCAACCAGCTCCTGAGCATGTTGCCTCAAATTCTGCAGCTCTGCTTGGCTGCCTGCAAACAAAGCATTTCAGGTTACAAATAATTTTCCAGATTAATAAGTAGTTTTAAGCCAGTTTCCAAATGCCAAAGCATTGAATTAAAGCAAAAAATGTGAAATGTGAGGGCTTGTGATTTTTACAAAATCAGGACAATAATTTGCATCTTTCAGGAGTGTGCAACTATGCAACACTACAATGCAACACAGCCCATTCAGGTCATTCCTCAACATGGGTTTTGACTCTACAGTACATGTGGTCTGCCTAAAGATCAGCAAAGTGCTTTCATGTTTCTTTTCATTACTCCCTCTTCTCCCTCTTACTCCCTCTCTTCATGCTGAGGACATGCTGTGGAGTCCAACGATCAGTGCCATTTCTACCCTTAGCACTATCTCCAGCTCCCTCTTTTGACACTTGTAAATTCCTCCATCCGCTGTAACTCTCTGCTTACTTTTCCTTTCTGCCTCATTTGCATCTGTTTTACTTCCACTGTTACTTCTATATACTTTCCCTACTTCCCTTCATTCAATTTCTCCACATTGTTCCTCTGTACAGTATCTCTCCAGCGGTTCCTCTACTCTACCTGCAGAGGACCTCTGGTTTGAGAAGGCTTTGCTGTCACTAATCTCCCGTTCCAGGCGCTGCAGTCTCTCCTCTAGTAGCTTTTCTTTGTCTACCATCCTTGTGTTCTTTTCCCGACGGTCCCTCACTACCTTCTTCCGCAGTTCACTGTATGTATTGCTGGGTTCTGGAGGAAGCTCACGGAGGTCTTTGGGGCTTTTGGCTTGGCTTGCTTGCCTGGGGTGACCAGCAGTGAAAATGGTCGGTGTTGCTGAAACAGGCAACAAAAATACTTTTCAAAAATAGAATAAAATGTATAAATGAACAGAAAGTATGTACTGTATTGAAAATACAAATTTAGTGCTGCTTTTTGTTACAGCAGAGATAGAAAACATGGACACAAACAGAAAAAAATCCTAAAACTGTAACATAACTATGAGTTATGTTACTATCATTTATCTAGTAACATATCTAGGCATCTAGGCAGCAGGCAGCCTGCTATAACCATTTCAAAAAAATACATTTCTCATTTGAGGTGGGAACTCTTGTTACATGAATAAAAAAACAACAAAACATCAATGTCATGCAGAGAATAATGCAGAGAAGAAATAGTACTTTTAGATGGCATGTTGCATTTCACATCAAGTTCTGCTAAAGCCATTTATCAGAACACAATGTGCACTGATGACCACAAATATCATTATAGAACATTATCTACAATACTATGTTAAATATACATACATAAAATGCATGCAACTTAAAATATTTCATTGTTAACATGTTTATTTCACCTGACCAATTGAATGGTGTGTTTTTACTCTGATTTTTTTTTTTACAGTTAATATTAACATTAACATGTTAACTTACAGATATTGGAATGCCTTCACCCTTTATTGGGTAGATTACAGGACATGAAGAGAAAGGCAAACAGTGGGGTGACCCTTTAATGCTTAATATACATACATTTATTAATTTTTAAATTAAAAATCTATATGTAAAAATGCCAAGCAGACACACACAGGCTACTTTAGTATTTACACCTACTTGGAACATCATCTTTCCAATTTTCAAGAGTCTTCCTCACAGACATTTTCTTCTCTTTGGGTTCTGGGGATTGGCCACTGGTCTCCTCAGTGAAATCTGTGTGATGTGAACAAATTCATTGAATGAATTCAAAACCGAGAGGAGCGCTGATTTCTAAGGGTTTTATTATAGTAAAATCCCTTTTTACCACAATCAGCCAATGGTTATGTAAAAATGTAATTTCTGCAAAGCCTGAAAGTGTTACCTTGCGAATCAGACAGATATTATGTCTGCACTTTAGTTATTAAGGTAGGAGCATTTTAGGAACAGACAGAACATTTTAATTTACCACCACCAAAAGCCTGAGGGTAGCACTGCTAATAACAATTCTAACGAGGCTTTCCATTTAGCTCTAATGATATGAGGTTACCTTATGGCTGTTATGAAACTAAATGTCAGTTGAATAAGAGCTGTACTTTTCTAACATAGAGTCAAGAGTGTGGTGTACCGGTAATTTGGCTATGTGATGGAGAAGATTTTAATATCAGGTTGCATGGCTTTAATTGTTTTACTAGTGCTTTTCATAGAAAAGACTCCAAAAGCCAATAGTCTTGAATTTCTATTACACGTTGTTTTGGAAGAGCACCAACAATAAACAAAAGCAATAACAGAACTTTATGTTTAGTTACATGTTGTTGGAGAGATTTTCAGATTTGCTGTTCATAATTAGAGTCATTCCAATTACTCGATAGACCTATTACTGTCAATGTTACCACCTGTCTTTCACATCAGTGATCACAACCAGCTGTTTTATATCAGCTAAAATGTTTGAAATTTGTGGGCATGTGCGTTTGCTATTTGCTACCTATATACAAAAATCTGTTTATAAAAATACACACAGTTTTATTTTCAAGCATTTATACTGTGTTGGATGTGTGAAAATGTACTAGAAGAAAGCTAACTGGAAATCAGTGCTGATTTCTGATCTTTTTCAGTGGGCTCTACAATATACAGGCCATATTTTAAATACATAGGTCAATTTTTACCACAGATCAATTCTTTCATGAGCATTGTCCTTCGTATTATCATTATCATTATTACTACTACTACGATGTTCTCCTCCTTATGAAATATGTTAACCCATCTGTCATTATTGTAAAATCAGTACCTGGTGAAGACTCTCTTCTGCCAGAAGTCTGAGTTGGCAGGGGTGTAGAGGACTTGAAGACAGACTGTCAAAATAAATAAAGAGGCAGTCAGTATAGTAAGTCTTTTCAAACAAATATATAAATCCCTGCAGCCTGGAGGAGTTTATTTATGGTCTTTGCCAAAACGTATCCGATAATATCTTATCAGTGTATTTATTAAATTGTACAGTTTGAAAGAGCCTACAAAACAACATGAATGAATTACATTTGTCAGTTCAGTGTAGAGAAGACATATAGCTGAAACAGAATTATGAGGAAAAATTGGAAGACAATTTATTTTTAACACCCCAACTATGATAAAAATTCAATAAATTCCACAATTGTTGATGGAAAAAAATATACTGCATTTCTATATTTAGAAACAAGCACAATGTTCTCACAGTGACCTTTACTCTCACCCTGAGTCATAAAAAAAACAGAAAGTGAAGACCATCCTGTAGATTTATGTGGGTTCGGGCTGATGTTTTTTTGGACCTAGAGGTGGTACACCATTGTGTAAAACTACTATATCATATGAGTCACCATACTAGGTCTGTTGGCCTTAGATTATGACACAATAGATCCATGATGTCCTATGTCACTTTGACTTGTGGCTGTCATAACTGAGAGATTCAGACACTGCCATAGCCTGGAAAGATAGTTGACAGGGAGAGACCATTGGGACCTTTACAGGTTAGCTATCCAAGTAGAAGAACAACAACATAATATAACATTTTCTCAGGGATCTATAAAAGGAGACATTTGGCATAGTGCCACAGACCGAATTAAGAAGAGAACTCACAAGGCAATTTTACAGATAAACTGTACACCACAGAATAGAATTAACTGTGTGCAGATAAAGCAAGACTGTGAAAAACTTCCCATTACTAATGTACTGTGATCAGTGACTACCATAAATCACAATAACAGCTTTTTAAGGCAATTTTCAGGCAATTTGCAGAAGTGCAAGAACTCACCACCTGGATTGTAAGAGCACCACAGACAAACACGGTAACATTTTGTAGTGGAGAAAAAAGGGGGGATTCAGGATTTAACCATGTAGATACATAAATTAAATGCCAAATGTACAACAAAGAAAACTGTTTGATAGAAGGAAACAAAAAAAAACCCCACCAACATTTACTAAGAAAAACTGAAAGGATATCTGCAGATGCTATAAGCCAAGTCCATATATATGGCTACTGAGCTGAATCACAGCTGATAGTTTTAGTGACAACCATAGCACAGCATTAAAAAGAAACAAAGTATCGATTCTGAGTACAACTGTGCCTCCTACTGGATCAGACTGGGATTACAATACCAAAATACCACAGACTCAAGGAAAACCTATTTAGGAGTAGTAACACTCATTAAATACATGCCAACACTCCAACCCCCCATTAAATAAACCTCATGGGCTGACCCTTTAGATGCACAAAATAATAAGCAATTACCAGTCAACTGTTACAAGGTGACCAGCCAAGACTGAAAATTGCTGTCATAATTGGCATCATGTTGGAGATTTATAAATGTCTCAGTGAGAATGACTGTAGTGATCCTGAAGGTGAACTAAATGGAGTTTAAAGTGAGGTTTTGGATACATTTTGAAGATTGTTTAAATGTGTTTTGACAACACTTAATGTTGAAATATTTAAACATTTCAAAATTACAGAGCTGGGAAAATTGGGCAAAATTTGCATGTAAAAAAAAAAAAAAAATCCAATCTAAGAACTCTTATTCAGCTGTTACAGATTAAGACAGACGTCAGATAACTGATGAATAAATATATCGAAATAATTATTGTAATATATGTAGAGATATCGGCTGGATTTTAGTTTGATCATCTTTAGAAAAATATGAATGAGTAATCAACAAAATAACCAAAATAATAAATAAAAATAAAGCTTACTTATTTCTTTCATCACTCACCATTTAAAGATAAATGTCATATTTTGCATTGGCACACATATTCATGACTACTCTGCGTTAAAATGGAGGCTCTGCTCTATTTAACCTGTTGCCATAGTGAATCATGACATCTGATGATGGCTTTTTTTTTATTACACAGACATATTTAGCTCTGCAAATATTCTCAGCGGTGGCTGAACTTATTCTGATTAGATGCTCTGGAACCGAGAAGTTTCCCATTTTAGGATGAATCAAGATTAAAGTTATTCTGAGAGTTCTTGTCTTCTGGAAGAGACACCTGGAACTGCCTCACCTAAATGTAACACATGCCACTATTAGGGTTACACCTAATAAATACACAGCCACCCATTTAGCCTCTAGTCTTATAACCACTAATCACCTCTTACAGGTATTTTATGCGATCTGTATTAGAAGCATGGAACAATCTACTGAGAAACCTTCATGCACATAATACAAGCTCTTTCTGCAGCTCCTCACCTTAGATTTTAGTGGCAGAGCATAGACAGATTCGGTGAGTGAAGAATTCTGCCTTCGGTCCAGAGTGTGGTAGACATGTTCCTCCCCGTCCTCTTCATCCACCACTTCCTGTTCCTTGTCTTCCAACTCCCCCTCTGACTGGTCAGGAGAGGACAGACGTGGCCGGCTAACCAAATCTTCTGACCATCTGTCTCTGAGGAAGTTAAGCATGTAAGATAACAGCAGAAGACAATTTGATGTATCTTAGTAGAGGCACAAACTAATACAGCCACTTTTATGAACAGTTTATTTTCTCTTAAAACTCCTGCCAGAGAAAATGAATTTTATTTTTCTGACACACTGGTGATGACACAAATCTTGACATAATACTGTTGCCTTTCCCATATGATGGCTACCTTGTGTAAAGTGCTGTGCTGATGTTTGGCTCAGATGTGAAGGATTCTGATTGACCACTCTCGGATAAAGACATCAGCCGGGCAGGAGGTATGGCCCATGTCTGTCCAGTGAGTGAGGATGATAAAATGGCTGCTGCTAAAGCTGACCTGTAGATAGAAACACATACTTTATGAGACACTATGTGTAACAGAAAAGTAAATGAAATGCATGGAAAGCATCGCATGCAAATTTGAAGTCACTCTACAATTTTTGACTTTATTTATCGAGTTTGGATGATGACAATTATCAATAAATGCATCATTTATGACAACAACAACGGCACAAGCAGAGCAGATCATTAACCAAAGCCAGTGCTCTAGTTTTCAATTTAATTAAAATGACTTGGACCTGCACTAAAATTTAATGTTTTTTTCTTTACACATGATCTATCGCTACATTTCGATAAATAGCCTCTAACAAGCTCATAGCAAACATGAAAATGTGGATTAAATGACAGTTTAGTAGAAACATGAAACATGAAAGGCTGTTGGAGGTTATGGGCGATAAACAGAAAGTGTTAGGTACCTGGGTCTCTCAGGTGAAGGGTTTGGGCTGCGAGGGGGAGGGGTACGAGGTACGGCTGGTTTGGGAGCAATGGAGGCAGCAGGGATCAAACCATGAGCTATATGCTTCTACGCAACACAGAGAGAAGAGTTAGAGGGACATACAGACACAACGCTTCAGGAGGGTTTATATAAGATGACACCAAATTGAGGGGGGGGACAAACAAAAACAAAACAACACAGATGTTGTGCAGGGTGAACAGCAGGGGAAGGGTAAAGGGATTTATTACAGAATCACAGTATGACCACCTGACGACCAGTGATGAGCGTAATGAAGGCACAACAGCACCAATATTTATCCTCAAATTTTACTAAGTAATGCTAGAGCAATCGCTAGTGCACAAAAAACCCTCAATTCACCATTTATACAAACTCTAGCTTAAAAAATAGGCAATACCACCAATTAAATACTCATTACCAAGAGTTAGCGGCAGTATTTTTGAAAACAAAGAACTCCTACTATTATTAATTAACCATAAGTAAAGCCTTAAAAAACACAAAAATAATAAGACAAACTACAAAAGGTTAATATCTATCATAAAAGAATGGCAACTTACAAACTCCTTGTCTTTCTCCCTCCTAAAGCTAAATCTTAACATACTGGAAATACGTTTTACAGTTGCCGTCTACTATATAGGTTAATGTTATTTAATGCTTTTGCGAAGTATTCTTTCAATAAAACAGCTTTACAATTAAATCAGAAATTATAATTCGCCGAGAAAGGAAAATGCGTAAGCTAACTAAATTCAACAAGGATGGCTGCTTGCAGTTTCCTTGTATCTAGACGCTTCACAACAAGAAGGAACCGTGCTCCAAACGTAACGCTGATTGGCTAAGTTTGAAGGCAAAAGCCAATCAGAGACTGCTTTGATCCACCTAGCAACGACTTGCTTACCAACTCGCAGCCTGGCCAACAGGGGACGATGTTGGCCCATTTAAATAACACCGTTTGTCCCCGAAAAAACTTTTCTTTTTCTTCTTTCACTGCTGGTGACTTTTAATTTGAAGAACAGGGCTTTTTTCAAGTAGGAATAAGTAAATAAAAACGTCATTCCCCCACCTGTATTAGCCGCCTATCTGAAGGCCTGCTGTGTTTGTTCTGTCTAAATTCCCAAACTATTTATCTACTGTATTATAACAGTGGCTACGTTTATAGGTATCCCAATTGCAATCTTTACAGTTCCTCACCAATAGGAAATACGTCAAACTATAAAATCCATCCAATCAACACAAAACCAAATACAGAAGACAACCATAAAGCCATTAAATAACTGAGACGTTCCTCAATAAAATACAGCTATGTGTGGGTCAGATCTTTAGCCTGTTTTTTGTCATTTGAAGCATAAAGGAACAGCTTTAGAAAAGCTTTCTATAAGTATAATTTTAACCTTTTTATTTCTTTCCAACATGAAAAACAGAGTTATTGTAATAAATGGGGGAAAAGTGTAATCTTTGTTTTGTTCTGCTTCTTAGTTTAAAAAAAGCAAACAAAACAACTTTGCCTTAGGAAATGTAGACAAATAGTGACTAAAGTCAACACATTGGTTCCTGCAATATCTACTTTTCTGATTAACATAAAGCTGGAGAGAATTTTATCTTTCCAGGGCTATGTTGGAACTAAAAATCACAGAGATGAAGAAAATCTGTGAATAAAATTTAACCACATGGTATTTCTTTTCAGTTTCTGTGGATTAGGATGTCATATGATCCTGGGCTAGACGTTCAATAGTTAAAAGCACGAGTCTTGACTTGGCGTGTATGTGGTCAAGACTCATTCCATGCATTCCCGACCTGATTGGTAACTGGAACCACAGACAGAATTAAAGAATTTTATCTTCCCCATGTGTTTTATTCCTTTTTATTGTCATTTGAACTCATACAAAGACTTATCAACACAGAGCTATGCAGGACCAAGCACAGAAAGGAACAAAGGCAACCTGAAAGCTTTAGAAAAACAGGTACCATAAACCTCTGCAGATACACTAAGGCATTTAGAATTATTAGGCACTGTAACATGAACACAAAGATGTAAAAAAGATGATCCTCTGCATCTGTTAGTACACTTAACAAAATATGAAGCATTCACTGCACAGACTTGTTACACACTCGGTGAGGCATTTTCCTTCATGATTTAGCATAAATGGCACTTAAAAGAAAGTAACAGGTAAACAGTAAAGAATGTTACATCTTCTCAGTGAAACTGCTTAAAAATATTTAGAATTTAAAACATTGAAATGCAGCAATATATAAGTTCGCTAATGGATTAAGCAAGGCTAGTAACATACATTCATTCAAGAAACAAACCAAGGACTCTCGCGTGCAAAGCAGCATTCACAACTTGACCATTCACAAAGTAGCTCTACAACCTACAGCTTACAGGTAAATATATATTTTTGTGTTTTTTATTACATAAATAATTTGATTATCAAATGTGTATAAGAATCTACTTTGTAGATAAAGAGAAAGTCCAACACGGCAAAGTGTCAGTAAAATAGGGAATGTGACTAAGATAAAGACAGGTAGATAAAGAGTAGAAACCCAAATGTGGGATTTGATCAGAGTCACTGTAGGGTGACTGGCTGTCCAAGCGATGCAGGAAAGTCATCAGTCTGCCCACATTCTTCCCTTCTACAGACATAATAAACTTTAACTACATCAAAATTCACATCAATAAAACACAGGTCATGCTCTTCTTAGGGAAGCGGGTAGGATGAATCACAAGGGTAAATGATACATCCTTGTATTTCTGGAACTTGGAGGCATAATGGTCTGTGGCATAACTGGTACATTAAGCAAATTTAAAATACCAATATTTGTGCATTTAAAACTGTGTCCCAAGAACGGCACTCAGCAGAAACAACAGTCCTCAAAGACTGTCTCACAAATACAAATGACAGTAATACATAACCATGGTACACATATGATTTTTTTTTAGCAGCTTATAGAATATTGCATTCATCACACCCCTCTTCCCAGACATAAAAAACTCCACTATACAATTAGCATTCCCTCAATCACTGTTTAACATACTGCAACATAGTTTATTAAATCTACATCCATAAAATCCATGAATTTTAAATCCCGAAACTGATCAGCAGCCACTGATTTCTACAAAACTGTGGCAATAAGAAGATTCCTTCCCATATACAGTATGCACAGCTATGCTCACTGTGTACAGCTCTGTACACAATGGCACTAACAAGGGAGTGCTTAACCCACAATCAAATCACTGCCTTGCAGTCAAGCAGAAACTGGGGCTGGGTGTGTTTGCACCACTGTTTTCTTCTTCGATTCGTCTGGAGCATGTTTTTCAGAAAAAACAAAAACAAAACACTGAAATCGCAGCTTAACTAAGAAGCCAGTCTCAGTGATCTGTGTGTGTGTGTGTGTGTGTGTGTGTGTGTGTGTGTGTGTGTGTGTGTGTGTGTGTGTGTGTGTGTGTGTATATACGTTTTAGTTTTTCCGACAGTGCAGTTTCACTGTGCTGTACATATACTGGAATGGCACTAAATGCTTTTTTATTGTGTCTGACGTACAGTGCAACTTGCATCAGATACAGAACTGTGCTGGGAAAGCACCCACATTCCATCAAGTGCACCAATATACAGTATTTGGCACAGCCACTTTCCAAAGCAACATACTACATACACTGCTGCTTAGTATTCCAGTGGAAACACCAAAGGTCACTGATAGTACACAAAACAGGTCCAGTATAGGTACAGCACAGTACTGTATACTGGGCTCAATATGCGTACTGCAGACAGTAACAGCTGCAGTTAGCTCAGTAGAGGCCACTGTCATTGTTGTAGGAGCTGGAGCTGGGGAAGGTGGGACAAGGTTTATTCCAGGGCAGAGCGCCGGCCTTGTCTGCTGTGGGAAGGCTGAGGGTGCTGGCACTCTTCATCTTGTTCTTTAAACCCCAGCTGAGGAATGATGACTTCTTGGCTACTTTGCGAGACTTGGAGTTCTTGTCATCTTCATTATAGGCCAGACAAATCATGGAGTAGGTCTTAGGCAAGTTTCCACAGAAGGTTGCACTCTTGGTAGGCTATGGTACAGACAATGAAAATGACATTTAGTTAAAAAAAAAAAAAAAAGTGTCAGTCAGTATTTTGCAGAGTTATTAATATTTATTTATTTTTTTACATTTCATACCAAACAGTCCTAATTATTTCATCAGTCAATGAGTTATTGATCAGTTGTTAATATCCGAAATCATGAAAAAAAAACTATTGCGAATAGTTATGAGGGGTTGCAAAACAAGTACAGAATAAATACATAACCTAATGAAGTAGAAGTGCATTACTTTTTAACATACTTTCATATAGTTTCTTAATTTCACTGAGGCACTGTTTCTTTCCAAATCATGCCACACTGTGGATGAGTTTAAACCTCAATGATTTTAGCTCTTTGTTCACATGTTTAGGCTACTTGGCTGGTGAACTCACACAGCAGTAATTTGTTTTAAACACACACGTAGGTCATAGTCAAGGTCCTGTTTCTCATGGGAAATGATATAAACCATTTACACTGATACCTCCAAGGAGAAATCTAAAACTCTGGACTGAGCAATCACTTTGCACAAAGACCAATTCTGCCGTCACCATTTGTTAATCAAACAAACCTGCTGATAACCTTTCCCTAAACACATTGGACAAAACGAGGGCCTTGCATACCATGGCAGTGCTGTTGTCCATCATGCTGACCACCTGGATATCAATCCCCTCCTCGTCCACGTCCTTCAGAAGTCGCATCATGTCACTCACGCTCATCCACTTGCACTCTGTGTCACCCACAGCAACAATGTAGTCACCTTCTTTGAGGCCATCAGCCTGGGAAAAAACATGACAAAGAAAATTGAGTTACAGGGTGAAATATCCTGATATTGTAGAAGAGTAAACATTTACAAGTCATGTTGAACTACTTTCCTTCGACTCCCTTGAGGCAGCTACAATCAGCCGAAAAACAACTGAAGTTTAGTCTAAAGTGGGGGTTATCTGGGGGGTGGGGTTTTTATGCCTTATTTTTTCAGAAGGCATAACTCATCATTAGCGTGCTGCAGAGCACTCCACTAACATGATTTCACATGTGTCTACCTTATAATTTGATCCATGTCCACCTAAGATAGGTCAAACACTAATGACCCAGCAAGTTCTAAATAAAAATCCTATTTAATGCAGTATTTAAAGTTATGAATAGTCTGACCTAGTTATCTTATGCAAGACTACTAATCTGTTTCTCTACATAGCTTGCAGGGCCAAATAAAAGTCTGCTCTTTGTCAGCACCTCTTAATGAGCTGTCAGACTGCTGGCTTGTAGAGAGTAAATACTCCCTGATTCTTAATTAAATTAGTAGTCAGAGTAGCTGACAAACAGGAGGAGGGGAAGGCCTCCAAACATTCTTTGAGGCTGAAATCCTGTTTAGGCTTCCAAGAGTGACTTTATTTAATCAAAGGCTCATTGAGTAGATAAGATCGAAACGTATTTGATATTCTGCATGGAAGCACAACTGAAAATTCAAGCTGTTAGATTTTCCACAGCAAACAAAGCTACGTCATGATTGTAATTAATATCGAGAAACCTATGCATCTGATTTTTAATCAAATCTGCCAAGAGCACCAAAAGTGGCCAAAAGATATCTCTCCTGTGCTCTAAAAACAATGTACCTTGTAAAATTAAGATGAGAACAGATATGCAAACCAGTGCGTGATCATAATTTAACAGAGTAATTTCAAAAAAGGATCTTCCAAAGGACTAATGCATTAATTATGAATTACACAGAAAGTTAATAAACCATGTAATGTTGATTGTTACATAGCACCACACTGACAGTCACCTAAAATCCTGTATATCTACTCCTGTTCATTCAGTAGTAGGAAATAGAGTTTAACTCACAGCAGCTGCACAGAGAGGGTCCAGTGAAACCACCTGAACCGGTGAGTCTCCTTTCAGTGTGAAACCCAGGTCTCTGTCGTCTGAGCGAACCCGTATTGTCCGTGGGGCAGTCCACCGCTGCTTGGCCGAGAAGACTGACTGCGGGCCCTGTGTGGAGACAGAATGTGGATGCTGGGATTAATAAGGCTACAGGTATTCTTGACTTAAGAAGATAATATCCTGTTGAGTTTGATTTCAGTGAATGCTGCGGGGGAAACTGAAAATCCAATATAATGTCTTGGCTTGAGCCCTTAATACTCACATATTTGAGCTATATTACTGTAGCAGTAAATGCCAGGTAAAGGGCCAGAACGGTGGCTACAGTCTTGTGTATTACCACTTCAATTCAGAGGAGCTGGAAGTCATATGACTGAAGAATTAATGGTACCTTTCACACAACTGAAATTATTTTTCCTCAAAATTTTAGCAGGGATGTCATTTTTCTGTATGATTAGGCAAAAAAAGGCAGTGAAGCCTTTGAACAAACTGACACTCATGGAAAACCTTCTCAAAATGCTGTAGGTGTTATGCATCTATCCTTGAAAGTTGATATTTCCAATAATACTTTCCATTTAGGCTGCCCGTCTCTAACACACTTGTTATCTGCTGGGAAAATCTCTCCTCCATTGAATCCTGACACTCAGTTGTACCTAGTACCAAGACTACTCTTATCGCACTGGTTTTAGTAATCACCAGAGTGATTGTTCAGCGAGATGGTGCCAGATTAAGCTTTTCAGTCCCACATTCCTCTTCATATCTCTGGGAATATGTTCTTGCTGCTGTGACTGCTTTTGTAACTGGCACCAGACAGGTACTTATTCACCTACTACTGGAAATGTCAGCTGTGACCCAGGCCCCCCCTTATGAATGATTTCAGCTTTTTTAAACATCCCTTTCAAACAAAGTGAACAGAAGATTCCAGGGTTAGAGAGAGAAAATTTGTTAGTCACCCATCCCCCCCCTACCTCTCACCACCACCATTTATGAAAGGTACAGGAACATTACTCAATGCATTTAGCATGAAAGACTCCAAACTTGGAATGCGAAAAGTTTGGGAGTTACAGGAAAATGAAGTCAACCTTCAATCTCAAGGTAAATTCACCAACTTCAGTAGAGATTTTTCCTTCAACAGAAGCAGTGAACTGTAAAAGGTTCTATTTTCTCATCTCCCTTTAAAATACCACAATAACCATGAGCAGACTTAAAGCAAGGACCAGCACCTTTGTCCATGTTTAGTGTTAGTTTTGCATGAGTCCAGAAAGTTTTGGACACATCAGAGGAGTTTTCATGTGCCAAAGCTTCCAGAAGACTCATCCTTGGTTGGTTGTATTCAGAAACAACAAAAAAATACACTCTGGGTGTTAAAATAAAATAAATACATGAAACTTTTTAGGACAAAACACAAATCCAGAGGCATTTAATGTCCTTTAATGAATAGACCAGACCAACAACCATGTATGAAATGTGTGAGTAAATCGTTAGTAACCCACGTACCAGCCTCTGGAAAAAGTCGATGACTTTCACCTTTGCAGCTGCGGGAAATTCCATCTCTGCTTTGTGTTCTGTTTTAGCTATAAAAAGAGAGTAACAAAAATAAATTTATCACTCTATAATGTTTACCGTCACAACCACATTTCAACTGTTAAGAGAGATGGACAGGGAGTTGGCAGTATAAACATTACATCATCTCTACTTGGAAATAAATGCCACTTATCAAAGCTAACTGCAGCAGGTGTGGCAGACAATGCAGCTCCCTTTTTATGAGCCGTTTCCTGAGAGACAGTCCTCCCAAATCAACACAGTGTTTTTGCTTCGCTTTAGTGCCTTTTGTTAGTGTTAAGTGTTAGCTGTGGTGACACTAAGGTGACTGTTCGGTTTCTGTGATTACCAGAGGATGAATAGCTTTGACATTTATTGGAGACTCAAATGAACTTTAAAATCATTGACAAACTTGTGTTTCCTTGCATATATTTTAACTCTTATTATTATAACTTATTTAAAAACTAAACAAAAACAACTCACAGATGATTTTTGGGGCCTCCATATAATCAGTGAACTCTTCTTCATTTTCATTTTCACTGTGCTTGTTGACTGAGCGCTGGTGACTGGCTTTTAAAATTTCCTGCAGGACCTCCAAGTTGTTGGTATTCTTACACAATCCATAAATCCTCAAAGCCTCCTCATGACCAAAGATGGCACGACGGATGTGAGCTTTACCTGCAGAGGAGGAGAAAAATTCATCAAGAAAAGTGAAGAAGACAATAAAGAGGAAAGGAGGGACTGAGATGAATAGGCAGAGCTATTTTGTTCCACTTTGTGCTTATTTTACCAATCCGCTGACGTTCATCTTTGTTCTTTAAGATGTCCAGAGCAGTGCATCCCTCAGGAAGGCTATCATACACCTGTGACAAGGTCTTCTCCTGCTTGTCCTCATCATCGCCCGGACCCACTGAACACACAGAGAGCAAAATAAAAAAATAAAGCAACTGGAAAACTGTTTTATATCTCTCGTTTTAAAGCATAAAATACAAGCAGAACTATTGATAATGATTTTGATTATTATGTGGGGTTTGCATGCTCTCTATCAGTACTCCAGCTTTGTTCCACAGTCCAAAGATCAAAGTCAAAAGTTGACAGTAGGTGTGAATGTGAGTGTGAATGGTTGTCGTTCTCTATGTGTTAATCCTGTGAAAGACTGGTGACCTGTCCAAGGTATATTCTGCCTCTCACCCTATGACAGCTTAGATAGATTCCCTGCCACCAATCCTGAATTGGACAAGCAAATAAATGTTTTAAAGGAAGTTTTAAAATGCAATCTTTGTTCATATATTCCATAATTCAATCTTCCTTTTCTGGTTCACTGGATTTTAAAGTTTTAATTAAATCTATTAAACCAAAAGCATACGAAAATATCTTTTAGCTTCCTGAGTTTTCTGCTTAGCAGAGACAGTATAGAGAATTTATTTGGAATCGTTTGTGATTAATCTGTTTACTACAGCAATCTCAATTCAGCCCTGCTCTGTAGTCAAGGCCTCTCTACAGTCCAGTGGTTAATTGCTCTATTCTCCGTGTTCACACAGGAATCTGTTAATGAGCTGCCAAACCCAAAGCTGCTTCGTTCCGTTGTTTCCTTTATTCAGTCTCGTCCCACTCTCAGAACCATAGCCACCCACTCTGCTCTATTTTGTTTTTGATTTATTCATTTCCAAATGTACATGTAAAGTACAAAAGGAAAAGAATAAAAACATACAGCGAAACAGTGCACATCAGTAGAAAATTGCATTATGGAGTTGACATAAAGCTGGAGAAAATCACCTTTCCCTCACACTCTCTCACTTGGTCCCATCTATTTATGTAAAGAGCAGTAAGAGTCTACATAACTGTTAATCCTGCAGAAGTATACAGCACTTACACTCAGTTGGGTTTTTTTTGTTTGTTTGTTTTTAATTTTTAAATCACCTCAGCTGTCTTTCTTTCCCTTCTCATCATGACCTCTTTTGCTGTCTTTTTTGGGACTCTTTACAATCGTGTGTATCTCTGTGCATGTGCATGTATGTGTGTGTGTTTGCAAGCATGGATCTCTTTGTGTGTCAGACAATTTGTGAGTATCCCCAAAGAGGCATTATATAAAAGCATCCAAGATGGCTGTGGTACAGGGACGTAATCTGACATGACCAACCCAATGGCCCATACAGCACTTTAAGAGATCAGATATTCCAGAGAGCTCAAGAGGCAGCCCAAATCCTGTTACATCCAGCCTTGAACTGCTGTACACATTAACAACCAAGAGCCAAATATCTACTACACACAACCCGCATGAAAACTTACTAAAGGAGAAATGTATTAACAATCTTTTAACATAAACAGTTTTTTCAGGTAAAGAATACATTTGTGTTGTCTAAGCAGAACAACACAACAGCATTTTTTTTTATATGTATCTATGAAGAAATAAAAACTTCCCCCCAAATCCCACTGAATCAAAAATTTGAATCTCTTCTTACACTGGTGGTCCAGCAGTGCTGAAGCTACAAAGTAGTGTGCCATGGAGCGGTAGTGGTTGGTTTTAATTTGTGACATGGTGGACCAGAAAAATGGCACATTGTCTTTTACTGGTGTCTGGATCATGCACTGATGGACTTGATCGTAGATTTCTGAGACCTGGCAGGAAGAGGATGATAGAGTTACATTTAAAAGTGCATTAAAAGCACCAAGACAGGTACAAAAAATAAAAAGAACTGTGGCGACATTATCACTTTACATTCACTTTAAGTACAGTAGATCTTTCTAAGTCTGGAGCAAGAACAAGAGTATTACTTGTATATAATGTGAGGACTATGTGTGGCTTTTCTGAAGTTTACCTTTGCAGCCTCTTGTGCAACTTTCATCAGAGAGTAAAACTGGTTTCGGATGCCAGGCAGTGCAATCTTCTCAAACAAGCACTCCTGAGCTTGAGCAAGCATCAGCCGAATCAGCATACTGAGCATGGCTGGACTCATGTCGTAGCTGGGAGTGTGGGTGAAAGTCTCCTTAAGGTTATTCAAGACACCTGGACAGGAAAGAGCAGTCGGCACAAGTCGAAATCTAATTAGTCCAAGGAAACTACAATTAGTGCTAGTTATTTAAATCATCAGAGACTTAACTGAGAAAATAAGAAGAAGAAGAAAGGAAAAAAAAAAAACAAAAAAAAAACTAAATTACTCCTACACTACATGGAAAATTTCCAGTTTTGGGTTCTATTTTGAAGCCTGCAGGGAGAAAGCCTGCTTTCTCTTTTCCAGCCTCAAGTCTGGGTCAGCTACATAACAAAAGCCACTTTCATGTAATCTAAGTCGTCATGTAATTCCAAGGCTATAATGGTAATTTCAGAACAGAACCTCTCGTTTGGGATTTGGTTGACAAGAGCTATATCTGGAACATGAGTATTTATGTATCATGGCTAGCCCACATTTGACTTTGACAGTAAATTTTTGACAATAGAAGTTTGATATTATAGTTAATAGATTGCGCATCCGCCATCTCTCTCTCTCTCCTTTTTATCAATTACTTAATTAGAAGAAAGCATATAGTTTGCTAGTTCACAAAACGACAGATGTGGTTCTGCTGGTACTTTAACCCTAAGAACTGACACCCTTTTAGACAGATGTTTTAAAAGGTGCACAGGTAGACCAGTGCCTTTTTGCTGTTAATATTATTTCAGCAAGATTAACTATATCTGTGTCTGCCTGTTAAACACTGAGCAAAGAAATAAACATTAAATTAATTCAATTCAATTTTATTTATATAGCGCCAAATCACAACAACAGTCGCCTCAAGGCGCTTTATACGGTACAGTAGATCGTACAATAATAGATACAAGTTACTTTGGAAGAAATAAGGCCATGTCCACTCCAGCTAAGAATTTATGCCTACTGTTTGCCAGATAAAAACCTGGCAACAGTGAGTTGCAGACAGCTTAATAACAGAGCAATGCCTCAGTACAATTCGCATAAAGACTTGGCAACTCCTACAGTAGCTGGCTTCTCTCATTCACATCACCTTTTGCATCCTTGGCTAAAGAGCCCTGCAGCAGTTGCGCTACACCTAGCATTCCTGCCTGTAAACTCCCAGCTTGGATTACTACAGGTTCTTGGTCACAATAACATAATTGTTTTCCTTCACACAAGCCTAAATTAAAGCCATCAAAGCAACATAGTTGAAGCAATATCCAGAGCTATAATTATAGAGCAATACTGCCCACACTGCAAAGTCATAAATCTATCACGAAACATTCTGAAACCTTTGAGGGTTGGACAGTCTCTTCATGTTTTTGGTGCTTCCTGGAGCTCAGCCACATGACAAGAAACATCTACATTCATTCTCCGTCACGGAACAGAAGTCAGGGTGGAAGCTGGCCAATATTCTAAAAACAAAAATGTACTGCAGTGGTAATAATTTTCTGAGAACTGTGTTATCAGAGAAGCACTGCACGAGGGTGAAAAAAAAAAAGTCTTTAGCTTTGAATGAAACCCTGTGCCTGGCGCTTTTTCAGCAGTTAAAAGAAGTTCTTGCTGTCACTATTTATTTATTTTTTCATCTTGGCTTTCTTTACTTTTCTTTTTTTTTTTTTATATCTGCTCTTTTTACTCAAAGATTCAGCTTTCGGTAGCAGTGTTTCAGACTATAGAGGAACAAAGATAAACATAACTTTAAGAAACAAAAGGCTGACTGTTGGCCTTAACACAGGCTGAAAAGAGAGAATTAATGACTGCAGATCATCAGTTCATCACGTCTCTGCATACCTGCAGCTTTCTGAAAGGAAGAAACAGCCTCCTCCAGGCCAGTTAGTGTCTGTCGATTAGCACGGGTACCGAGCTGAGAGTAGAGGGCGGCCATGTTGAAAAGGATACTGGCCTTCTCTAGTGACAGGTTTTGTTGACATAGTGGCACTCCTGTGAAGGAGTCATACCTAAAGGAAAGTAAACACAACATTAATGTGTTAAAAAAAAAAAAAACTCATGAAGATAAACAGTCCAAAGAATATGAAGTGAAAAATATTTTTAGCAGCAATATAACAGCCTTTCTGTCACACTTTGTGTGTTGTTACATTTTAATGTAACAGCATGTATATCATATTCTTGTCTATATCACTTGTTTGAAATGCTTCAAATTTGCTTCACAGCTAAAGCTCTTTAAAGTCTTTGAGCTCTTTATCTGTGCATTTATCTTTGCTAGAATTTTCAATTTAATTCAGTAGCAATGACTAACATAAGTAGCATGACTAACACGCAATAAAACCTCTCTGAAAAGAATGCTTGCACTTCATTGAGACTCCTTTGTGACTCTTGAGTGTGGAATTCTTATAAAATCCAAGACAGGATTTGTCATCTGATATCACTGATAAGTTAATATGTCTCTCAAGCCGTCTACTGTTTTGCTTTCTAAACAGGATTTCTCTTCCAGGCTTGATACACGACGAAAAAGCAGCAGGAGGGGGAAAAAAACCCAAAAACTGCTGTCAAATGTTTCCTTTTTATTTATTTCATAAGGAAGTTTCCAGTCGAGTCACACCAGCTGACATGGTTTCAGGAAAGCACAGGTGTTCATGGCACCTCTTTGCTTACTTTGAAGTCACTGGATATAGTCTCACCTGTTTCCTTTCTGTCAGAGGTTAGAAAGACAAGGTGACATTTGCACTGCTTGCTTTGTCAGTTTTGCTAATTAGGAAATGACTGCAGTGTACCATGTGAAGAAGATGCCCGTCTGTCTGGTTGGGGAGAAGAATCGGCTCTCTATCAGAGGAAGATGGCTGTAGTATTTTGCAAGCAGCTCCACTCCGGCCTCACTTCGACTTGGTGTTCTGCATGCCTAGGATATGTAAGACAAAAGCACATGTTCACAAGTGGTGAACGAACACAAAAGACCATCTTTTTTCTGTGCTACTCGATCATTATCATCTCCACTGTATTTGGTAGGTGGCAGAAATGTCAAGAATGATCTCTCACTCCACCTGTAAACTAAAATGAAGTTGACTCCGCAGCTAACTGCACAGGAAATATGTTTTTGTAGTTGACCCAGCCCATAAAAGTTCAAGTCAAAGGATTTCATGTTTTTTTCCGTGACAGACATGAATAATGGGTATATTAAACACACCTGTCGCAGGTCCATGAAGTCAGCAATCTCATCTTCAAAAGTCTTCCCGTCTTCACTATAGTGCTCCAAGATAAAGTCCTATAAAAGACAGAAAGACAAAAAAAAAAAAAATAATCAGCATGTAAATACAAGTTCTTTTTAGTATTTAGGAGCTTAAGTTAAGCATTCAATCTGTTGGTTACACAGTGGTTTTTCTCATACCATCACTAAATAGTAGAAAGAAGACAACCCTGTGTTGTGTATGCTGGAGAGAATTTCTTTTCTCTCTCAGCTAGCCACATGTAGGAGAGGCTCCATCAAATTTAAAGCCATATTGTGAATACCCCCATTAAGGAGGATTAACTGGAAAATGTTTATATGGATGAATAACCTTTATCTTTACTGGAATACACCCTTTACTGCCAGGAGAACTTAGGTTTCTTAGAATTTATTCATGAGAGCAACTCTTTGTACTTGGAAGCTTTTTGAATAAGGCCGCAGGTCATGAAAACTGAGGCACGATTTCAGTCAAGAAGTAGAGCAGAATTAACGTGCTCGGAGATCTTTGTCAGAAAACGTCTCACATGCCCGTCAACAATCCGAAACAGGATGCGACACAACATAAACGTGCCAACTATGACATTTACAAGCGGGCTTACCCCATTTACGAGAGTTCAACTTGTCTTTATAACTAGTGACCCACTTTTAGCTTTTTCCTAATCAGGTGATGTCCTAAATGAACATTCAGTGACATGACATAGTAACGTAACACATACATGCGACAGACAATATGACTGAAATACGTAATTCAAGGATACTTAGTTTCAAGGATATATATGTAAACATGCAAACTGAAAATACTGCCTACAAATATCAGGGTTTTTTTATTATTATTATTATTATTATTATTATTATTATTATTATTTGTAGCTCCATACCTATATTCCTGTTTTGACAGAAATTATAATACAATTTTGTTTAACTGATGATCAAAAGTGGTGTTTTGCATGTACCCAAGTATGCATTTCTGAAAGCACAACACAGTTTAAGAATGCCAAGTCGAAACTTTTGAGGTTTCTTTTGTACCTTGAATGGAGTAGAGAAGTCAACTTCTTTTGTTTCCTTCAGGCCCAAAGCAATGAGGGGAATGTTGGCAGAATCTCTAAAGGCAACAAAGACAAATATGTAGCCGATCTGTGTAATCCATATGATCTAAATTCACAACAAAGCAAACACATGATAGCAGGACAGCAGGACCTTTCATTTAAAAAAAAAAAAAAAAGGGACAAAATATTCAATACAAGTAAGGACAAATAGAAAATATACCAGTGCAACAGATTGATGGTTAAAAAGACGTCTCTATGGTTTGTGTGAATATATATATATCCAGGAAACACCCTTTGAAAGCACACCAAGCCTTAGTGGGTATATCAGGTCAACACAGTTAGATTAGTAAATATTAAATCACACTAGTCCCATTAGTGACAGCTTTGTTGTTGAGAAAGTTTAGTTTCATAGGAGGTACTGTACAAAAGGATTAGGCAGATGGTGTTGTGAAAAATCTGTTAGGATTTAAAGGTGAATGAGGCCTCCCATGTCCCTCACTGTTGATTAATTATTCAGGAGTTGCAGCTTTGCTTCAGTCTGTCTTTCTTCTAGCTACTAGCAGGTTTTAACCTCCGATTATTGCAGCCTGGCAAATAGTAAACAGAGGCTGCCATAAAACACACTGTTTTGATCTCAGCTACAACCTTAATGGTTTGGAAATTTTCTGGTTTTATGGGGGTCCTTGTTAGTGACAGATGGAAAGCAAGTTCAGCTTGTTATCAGCGCTGAGGGACTATAACCTGACAGAAACCTGCTGCTAATCACAGAGGCATCATTAAAAAAAAAAAAAAAACTAAACTCTCTCTTTTCCTCAAAGCAAAATAATGAGCCATTATTAAAAATTGTATTAAAAAAAAAAACAAAAAACAAAATAAAACACCCACTTCTGGTATTGCCTGATACAAACTTCAGGCTCAAAACCACTTATGTTTAAAAGGATTAATTAACAATCTCAGACCTCATAAGAGACATGATTTTCTGTAAATTCACATCAAAAGGAGTGGAGGTGAACTACTGTGCACTGTTATTGCAAAATACTGTTCTTTACACGAGATGTTCAACACTCAGTGATAAGACAGCATTCCTCTGGCATGCTGATGTGCCAGAGGAAAACCTCATTCATCAGTAACACTGGCAGAGAGAGAGAGAGAGGCTGCAGTGTAATCCATTAGTCCTTGTAGATGAGATCACTCTGGACTTTTCTCTGGCTTGGCAGAGATGGGACCATGGGGGTTGAGTGTATCTGTTTCACAGGGAATCTGGAGGGAAAATTTTACAAGCCTCTCAGAGACTCACTCCTCACACACACGCGGGAAACAGACAACTAGTAGTCAAGGGAAGCTGTGGGTTTAGCTACACAGAGCCAAGCACTTCTTAAACCGTTTAAAGCAAAAGGTTTCAGGCTGTTGCAATCTGTTCTGACTTCTTAGTATACACCGACTAAGAAGACCTCTTAACCCGTTTAACTAGAACATGTCAATAAGGCTAAGAAGTCAGTGTGCACTCAGTTTGGATATGTTGTTAGTAACCGGATGATGTTAATGAATACTAATCTTCCCTTAAGGAGGGACAGATGAAAACGTATATTAAAATAATGTTATAAAACTAAAAACATGTGATTTTATGTGTTCAGAAGTGTTAACTTCATAAAATGATGTTATTAATATTAACTAAATTTATCTGAAGTTCTAAAACTCTGATGATATTTATTACTGAATTATTAAAGTATTCGCAATTGGTGTCAGAGGTCACAGCTGAGGTGAGCATCTGATATCTTTGTGTATTCTGGACAATAGACAAGAGCAAATTAGTCTCTCTTACTCAGCAAAAATGAATACGGTGACCTGCAATGCTGACATATTATCTTACTGTTTTCATTAGTAATCATTTTAATTCTGCTGATTCAGAAATGTTCTAGGAAAGTTCATGAACTTTGCACAAAGGAACTGGACAAATCAGCAACACTTTGGTAGTGTGACGAATCATTTACACTCATACATTGAAATAATGAGCAGTGCTAGTGAGTCCATTTCATTTTTACTTCATAATCTATCAGTGATGAGCCAGGTTTTTTTCCCCCCTCAATAGGGCAATTCAGAGAACAGAACAAACAAATGTACATTACATGTACTGCCATCAGGCCACAGACTGTATGGCACTTTGTGTTATGCATTGCCTCATGCCACAAAGGAGCTGAATCTAAGAAATAACCACAGAAAGACACTATACAAAGGACAGTGGACTAGTGGGAAAGACTGTTGGAGACAGGTGTTGTGTTTCTGTACTTAAGAGTGAGGTTGTATTTCAGGCTGAGAGGAGGAGGCTAACTCTCCATTGTGGCTGTACAGCGTCATCCCTATGAGACACCTGCTAGGCAATGACACGAAAGGACTTTCTCAACATATCTAATATTCTCCAGTTTAGGCTTCCCACACACCTGTGCATAAGGCGCTTGTTGACGATGAGAACACTATGGACCTAAATGGGTTTTATTTTAAGCAGACCCACAATGACAGTTTCAGAGGTTTCCTATTGTGTGCCGTGAGCAGGTGCTTCTCTAATAGTCTGATAAGGAGACTGAAGAGAGGCTGTTTGTTCCAGCACTAATGAATCTGATCCCATGAGACTGATCACGCTGGGACTAACAATTATACTGAGAGGCAGCTGGTGAATTTGGAGGATCTAAATAATCTTAGTGGCTGATGCGTGAGATTTTTTTGATGTCCACAAAGAGAAGTTTTTTTTGCATTTAAGCAAGATACAAACTACCACAAGCAACACGAGTGTAAAACACATAATACACTCAATATTTGCCTCCCTAGATTCCTAAGAGCACAGTTCATTGTCTTCCCTGCCTGGTACCCTGCAGACAGGAAACCAAATTTATTACAACCAGGTTGAAGGCTCCTGGTGCTTACAGCACTGAGACTCTGCAGACCAAACAAACTAATCTGGGCTTACTGTGGAGCCAATATGAGTTGGCATTTTAGGTTTTATAAGGTCATCTGCAGATTTATGTCAGAAATTACAACACTGCCCTAACTAGGTCTTTAGCTCAACAAATCGCTACAACAGTTTTTAGAATAGGAAATACACAGTTGGATATTAGAAGCATTACACCTTGTCACCTCAACAACCCTGTTAATTTGCTCAGTATTTTGTTGGGCAAGGATGGGAGGACATAGAGCTAACCCTAATAACAAATCATATGTAGCATAGACTGCTCTACCTCTACTGGGTGTGCATTCTTTTCTTATTTTATTTTAATTGTGGGTTTTTTTGTTTGTTGTTTTGTTTGTTTGTTTGGGGGGTTGTTGTTTTTACACACAGAGTTGTGTACCATGAATTTACCTCCAGGCACTGACAGTAACGTCTTGAGAGATCCTAATAAGACACCCAAATATTCTGATACCATCAACCCTACTAGCCACACTGTTCTTTGAGAATGAGCATGTATCACTGATCACCACACGTAAGTGGTCAGAATGGAGTGGGCAAGGTACTGGGTGAGCTAAAAACAATGCCACCGAAGCTTCCGATGGAACAAACTCATCAGTCAAAATTAAATCAGTTATGTGTTTTTGTTTTTTAATAATGATTACACTTCATATTTTCAAAATGGAAAACTCCACAGTTGTTTCATTTCTTTCTGGAATAAAACCTACCCCATGATTACTTTCAGTCACCCAATTAATATTCTTTACCCACAACTGGCTTAAACTTGTTTGGTTACTTCGTAGCCACGAGGAAGTGTACTATTTGCAGCACAAACAGATGCATCTTCAAATAAAAATCTGTCACCACTTCCTCATCAAGTCCTTTGTGTCTTGCCAAAGTTTCATTTACACGTGAGTGAGAGAATGATAACATGCATCAACTTCTTTTATCCAAACCTTATAAATATGGCAGGTGCATTTGGAAAGAAAATACTAGAATCTTTCACTGTCACACACCCATACAACACACACCTGACCGTCACACTGAGTGAGAGAATGCTTTTTGCCAGATGATCATCTTGGCTTGCATACAAATTCAACTCAGTGTTTCCTTGTTGTTCTGTGCATTGTGCAAAACCTGATATTCCAGTTTAACAACAACACCACTGTCTTGCACTTTGTCTTTGTGGTTCCTTCTTAAACTTCCACCCCCACCTTTTCCTCCTCTGTCATCAAGAGGCTTTCGTTTGAAAGCGTGCCAGAGCCATCTGTCTCTTGTAGGTTGTGAATGTGTGTCTGTTGTCTTACATCTCTATTTTAATAGTAATTCATAATTTTTCTTCGCGAGGTTGGATCAGTGGTCACCTCACCACAAGAAAACTGGGACCAAAATCCTTTGCGTTGAGCTCCTGGAGATGTGTGGACATTTTAGCATGATATCTATTTCACAGCCTCCTTACATGCACTTAATGTAAAACTACAATTATTCTGAAAATTGTAAGCAATTATAGCCTATTGCCAGCAGCTGAATTGCTACTCACAAGAATACTACCATCTAATGTGAGGTCATAAGAATAATAAGGTCACAAGTTCACAATTCCTTCATTCTAAAACCCTTGAACTGGAGCAGTAGAAAAGAGAGGAGAAACATTTGTACTTACTGGTTGTTCTGGTAAACCTCCACAGAGCTGTTGAGACCTTCCAACTCGCTCATCAGAAGCTGAAGGTTTGCGTTAACGTAGCTCAACTCCAAGAGAACCATTTCTTTCACCTTGCTATTGGATGTAGCCCTGCAAACAGGTGATTGTAGAGAGAGAAAGATTGAAGGGGAAAATGGAGAAGGAAAAAAAAAAACAAAAAACAGATCAGCCTTGTTATTATCCATTCTGGCTCAGCCAAACCTCACTGCAGCTGATTATTAAAACAAGCGTGTCTCTTCTGGTATTCTGGACCACAGATCTGCGTCACTGCGGCCCACTGTACACTTGCTCTACTCTTCGGCACGCATGCTTGACAGATGTCTCAGACTATGTACATGTCACTACTGTAATAGGACTGCACAGAGGTCACCTAGGATCTGGTCAAGGACACGTGTGTGTAAATGTTAGTCTCAGATTCCCCTGCTTTTAAAGCCTAACCATTCTGAATGAAATACGCCTAGAAAGGAGACCCCTTTTGAATCCCACTAGTCATCAACTTCCATGTCACCATCTGCTTCTGCAACAATTATCATTACTTACACACATTTAAATGTTTAAAATGTAGTTCGCATTTTTTTAAGTTAGAAGGATCAGTGCACTAAATGTTCCATTTGCATACAGCTTTGTATACGTGTGTTCATGCAGGAAGTCTGGAACAAACAAATGGATAAGGTGTGAGCATTTGCTGCATAGCAGAGATAACCCTGCACCAATACCGCTGCATGTTTGTTAATGCTAACATGCATGCACAGAGTGGATGGAACCTTTGTTATGTAGAATTTATGTTACGTTGTCAGTATGTGAAAACAACCTGCAATTAACGTGCATTCATGGAGACACAAGATAACACACACACATACACTATGTTTATCTACGTTTTACAGTGGATCCTAACGAGTTACCCGTCAGTCATAATTAATGGGACACTCACACATACCCATCGTCACCTACAACCTGTCAGTCTCGAGACTGTTTAGAACGTATCTGCCACCTGATCTCCTTCTACCCTGTAATTACAGAGGATTGCATTTTTTAGACATGAAAGGTCACAAGTAATGAAGTCCTACAAGGCAGGGGTTGGAGGGGAAAAAAACCTGCTTAACCTAAGGGTAAAAAAGCAGGTACAAAATAACCACCCACCAGAATTAACCACAGTCAGGTTCAGTGGATTCCCTTTGTATGACATGAAGCTAATAATATCCAGCAGTCTGGATTTTGTTCAGGCACATTGTAAAAAGGTCACCACATGCTGGATTTTAAATCCACACTTTATACTCTACCACAGCCTGCATCACTTCCTGTTGGCCTGCTGAAGGGCTTCTGAGGAGTTTGGTCTGGGGAACAGATCATGGTAGTGGAGGAAGAGATCCTATGGTTTGGACAGAACAGATGTCTGCTAGCCCAGAGGCTATTATTAATATGTCATTTAAATATCTAATATCATCCTGCAGTGTGTGGGAATCCAACTGTATGCCAGCATCTGTGGTTGTCTCTATCCACTTCTTTGGAAAAGCTTTTTTACACTTTTGGCAGATTGGCAGTGTGCTGTATTTTAACCTTAGGGGCAGCTAGCTGGTGGAGTTTTATAACTAAAAGCTTTAAAGGGCGACTCCACCAATTTTACATATACATTTTCATTTTAGTACAATAAGGGCTGCTATGATTGCCATCTGCAACTATAAAGCAAATGTGAAAACACTTTCAAATAAAAAAAATAACCTTAAACCCCTTGTTCCAAGTGGCCTGTATAGCAGGTTAATATACCTTTATCCTGCTAGTTTACAGTTGCTTCATTCAGTACTGACCAGGCAGGATGGTCTGTAAAGTTCCAATATTGGAAATTTAGATTTTTTTTTTTTTATCTTGTCTTGGTCTCTGCTGTTTTAATTTTGAGAAGAGAAGAGAGACAAGAATAGAAGAAAACCAGTCTGACCAGACTGACTTTTGCTGAAAGGGAGGAATGCAGAGCAAAGCAGAAGAAAAGAAAGCAGGCAGAGCATATAATGGGTGTCCTAGTGGGATAAGATTGCCAGGATATGCACACTCTCACACACTGAGATGGAAGAGCAGAGGTAGACCTTGGGTTAGATTGCATATGATTTAAGATCTTTAAAAAAAAATAGAGCAGAGAGAATACCTATAACTCAGAAGTAAATCCATGCTGTTCTCTGGGCTGCAGGTGGGTTGGCAGAGGGAGACACACATACAGACACACACATTTTCCTCCGACCTTGCCTGGTCAGAATATGTCAAGTACTAAAGGAATGTGCAGACTTCAGAGGCTGACGGCAGGCTTAGACAGACCTAAAGACCATGCAATAACTGTGGTATCCATGTACAGCAGTATTATCAGACAAAAGAAAAGAGATCTCTTATCTTGTGCCATCACAGTCATGAGCACAGTGATGAAAGACAATGATTCACTCTTCTAGAGAAAAGCAACCTTTCATCACAAGGTGCTTTCTGACATTCATACCACTAAACAACATCCTGGCTGTCAGAGTTGTAAACTCAGCTGGGGAAAGTGTTAGGCTTAATTTCTCACATCTTGCTCTCTTGATTTCTTATAATCACTATAATAAAATGGATAAAAGTAAAGCATAAAGTAAAGAGTTCAGTAGACCCTCCTTAATCACATGTCACTGAAGCTCTTTGTTTTCAGATTACAAGGAATGCTCCTCTGCGAGATTGCTCTCTGACTACCATTTACCCTGTGTCATTTCAATTCTTACCAGTATAAATTCACAACAGCTCATGACAGAAAGACAAAAGTGAGGCCAGACATATCAACAGCAACAGTTCCCTGCAATGCAGTGACAAAGGCTAGCTACAATGATGTAACATATGCAAAACTACATGTGTGCTTGGATTCTTAAACCCATCATAGACTTTGCTCTCCTCTTTAAATATTTCCACTTTAGAATGAATCAACTATTACTTAAAAAAACATATCTACTTCAAGCACACACACATGCACACAGTAAACCCATATATTAAGTTGGATGCATGTATCACTTTGCTCTTACTTGAGCAGATTCTCAGCTCCAGCCCTCATCCTCATCTGTTTGATAATCTGCTGGTTAAGACTGGCTCGTGTGTTCTGCAGTTTGCTTCGTCCAGTCTGTGCGAATGGGTTGCAACCCTGAAACACAGGAAGGAAAAATGAGTCAGCAAGAAAAAAAAAAACCCCCAACAAAAAACCCATCTTCTAAAAATGTAACAAACAGAAAAACATAATGCAACAATAGAACAGTTTTACATATTAGAGAGAAACATTGTTGGATGCCAACAGTGGCTTCCCTCTTTGCTCTTCTGTAAAAATTGGACAACTACAAAGCTTCTGATACCAAAAAATTTGTGCCTTCCCAGCAGATTCTGCACGTTCAAAACTTCAGCTTCAATTTACTATAAAAGATCTATTATATTATTACTTATTCAATGTGATAAAATATTTGACACTCTCAAGGTTTCAACATTTTTCTTTCTGTTAAAATTTTAGGGCTTTTATATCATTTTTAGTTTTTGACCTAAGAAAAACAGCTTCACCTTATTATGTAATTAAGTGTATCAATTAAGGTACCTGATGTCATTTTCCATGACTACACATAATGGACCCACATGAACTATAGCGGTACTACGTGTCCTTGACTTTATCACAAACTTACCAATCTAAATAAGTTAAAAGGTTGTCATTCACAGCAGCTCACATAAACTGGCACCAGGAATTCCTTCTCACTGACTCACTGAAGAGCAGAGGTGTGGTCTGTGGTTTATTTTGGTTAGTGAAAACAACGTGATGTGAAGAGACCAGTCAGCACAGTAAAACTAGTTAGATTACAGTGATCAGCATGGGACATCTAAGCTGAAATGATCTGACTCACTCTGAGGTCAGCAAAAGAATGAGCTTTAGTTTCTTTTGTAATAAGTAATAAATGGATATAGTATGTTTAATTTCTCTGTCCCGTTTTAAATGTCAACAAAGAGGCACAAGTTTCGATTATTTAATTTTTTTCCATAACAGGGAGGATTCCCACAATCATGGTCAGCAGGGGAGAAAACAGTCTGAGTAAATTTTACCAAAAGTTTCAGAGTAATGTTTAAATTACTGTTACACTGTACAATACAAATGAACATATCTACATAACAGCTGAAGATGATCTGTGCCCTGTACCTCTGATTAAGGTTTTGAATCTAACAGCCAAACTCCTCAAAAAACTAAATTAGTTACACCTGAGATGTGTAGTATCACCATAGCAACAACAGCATAATACCAAAGTTAAAATATTAATATAAACTTAGGAGTAAAAATACTTTTTGTAATGTAGTAAAGCTTTGAATGCAGTCACCATCTCTTCACTGATAATGTGACAGTCTCTCACTGCCTTCCCACTACCTAAACTGACTTAATTCACCTTATAAGATGTTGAGCAAAAGTTATATTTTGTAACAAAAACAGAACCCACACTTTGTTAACACTTTAATTAGTTCACAAGACTGTCCAGAAATTAGATGTTTTGTTATGTCTGCCACAAAAACAGCTTAAATATTCTTATTCATTACAGTTTCTCAAAGTAAGGCTATGGATGTACGTGCTTCTCTGTCACACCTGCCAGATATTTTACAGATAACTAAGTCTCACGTCAATGTTGATCTCAGAGACTTCCTATAAAATGAGTAAGCAAAGGTATTTGTCTTGAGAACAAATTTCAGCACTGCAGGTCAAGTGGCTTCAACAATAGTCACATTTAGCATAATATTTTAGTCACAGTATAATGTACTCTCGAAACCAGCCTGCCATAGTTATTTGGTTCATCCTGTTCAAACAGTTGAACCACCTGAGGGCGTAATGATTAACCAAGTCATGTTAACTACACAATAGAAGAGTACTGAAACTATCAAGGGTGTGGCAAAACACAACAGATAATTGTAGAATGACGGCAGGCTGAAGACGTTTTGTCCGGTCACGTCAATCGTGACATCACCAGCAGCAGTATGTACCAGGACAAAGGAGTGGCTCAAGTATGATAGCAACCATAGCAGGACATTTTTCTACGTATACTTTGTTACTATGCTACAAAACTTTTTGACATCCTATTAAGTGACACATGGAACTAAACCACTTGGCTGCTTATGCTGCTGCTGCCCTTACTAACCCACTGATCCGCACACTGAACTGAGCCCCTCCTACCCACTGGCACACTTGAACAGAACAGTCTTTCTCTACAAGTGTTCAAAACACTTCATTAGAGCAAAACACAAAAGCAGCGCAGTCCATTACCATATCCATCAAACAGCAAATCAATCTGGTATTATATAACTGATTCTTCATAAAGAACATGTGGAGCATTAATTCATGGGATAGTTGGTTTATACAAGTGCTGATTAGGACTGGCAACAAGCCAGGGAGAGGCTTCAGCCATGACCCAGTTCTGGTAGCAACAGACTCACAGCTCCTGCTCGGTATCATTTAATGATGACATGAATAATGACAAGTTGAAAACTTGTATTTTCCCTAAATGACTCTTCACTCTGAATCCATTCCAAGTGTGCATACTGCTGTCAAACAGTGTGTTCTTGTTTCAATTCAAAGACATGCATTTATTTCACGGGAACTACTGCATGGGTAAATATTTGTTTATGGCTTGATCTCATTTGTCGTTTTCCAATACAAAAGTCTACGGAGGAAATCTAAGTGTGCCTCCAAGTCAGCTGAGCTTGTCTGGTTTGTGAACCAGGACACATGTTGTCAATTTGTGTCTGTGGTCTGGCTGAAGGACACCCTCAGGCCAGATGCTACGTCAATCCTCTCACTGGCCAAGGAGGATAAGGAGAAGAAACATGCCTATTCGGCTTTTTGTTCTGCCATCTTTCCATTCTGCAGCCCAAACAGTCGGACACCAGCCAGCTGGAGGTGAAACGGTGGAAGGCTAGGGCGGAAGCCCCGAACCACAACAGCTCCCTGGAGCATCCACTGGAGCCGGTGAGGCCTTGTAAATCATTACACTCATTTTCACTCAAGAGTGAGAGAGAAGCTCAAAAATGGAGGCAAAGATCGACTCGACTTCACTTAGTTAAATTTTGACCCAAAGTTTCCAAATTGCAAATCTCTTCAGCGTGACAAAATGAGGGCACAGAACTCATTGTGTGGTTTTAGCAAATGTGCAAGCATTTTTATGCCAAGGCCATGAAAGTAAAACACATGAATGTTGAATACAGAAATACACCGAACTAAAAGAAAGAACTTAAAATGAAAAAAAAAAAATAGGTGCTTGTAATATCTGAAATGCCTTATAATAATAATAATAATAATAATAATAATAATAATAATAATAATAATAATAATATTTTGGAGGCTCTATAGTCTCCCATCATGTCTTGTGGCAGTGCCAGACCCCAGCTCCCACTGACCTTTTTATAGACAGAGGAAGTGCAACACAGAGCCTAAATCCAGACAGCGTTCAGAAGGGGATTTGGTGGGATTGAAAGAAACAAAGGCTGTGTTCAGATGTCCATCTAAACAAGCTTTTTCTATAAAAACACATTTCAGTTGTGGATACCAGTGTAAATGTAGAAGAATGAGACACAGACCACAGCATGGCAGTCAGGCAAGCCAATAAAAACACATTAGATAATCACTCTCTCACTGCCAGCTGCCTTTCTCATGACCTCAAACTGGACAGACTAGGCGCTCTGGAAAATGCTACAACCCCAGGTACTTGAAAAGGTGAAACCAGTTGGAGAGGTTTCTCTGCTGGTCCTCATGCAGGGTTTGTCAATTATTGTGCCATGACAATTCACAAGCCTATTTACAGCATGAAACTGTCTCAGTTACACTACAAGGGGTGCATTTTTAACCAAGCCCAATTTAAATATGTATCTTTTACATCACTCTGCTGATGAGGTTATTCAGATTACCTCCCAGGAACTGTGAGATACAATCATTAAAAAGACCAAAGGTTTGCGCTTTACTTGGCTATCAATTTCTCTTAAATACAATGATCTTCTTTTTTTTTTTTTTTTCTTCAAACAAACCCAACCTGCTTCATGCCTCGGCAGTAAGGTTAAACTGACCAAAGTCCACCAGGAATGTCAACAAATTCTTTTAACTATCAATCATCCTCACACCTCCCTAACAACAAACAGGGAGTTGATTATGTTGATTGTGGGATATTTGGCCGCGGCTCCCAGTA